CCACAAAGAGACACAAAAAGACTAAATGCAAAACAACCACAAAGAGATGCAAAAATGAAATGTATTATGTTTTGTGATACTGTATTGATTCTCTTAAACACTAGATGTATGTTTAATGCAAACATTGGTGACGGACATGAGCTCAGATTGCTAACAGAGCAGCACTATGATGTTGGATGTCACGGGGACTCTGATAAATGCAGATCCTGTTCTGATTGCATTGGTTTTACTCTGACTTTAATCATGTGTTCTTCATACAGTTGTTCTGCTGCTATGAAGATGTACTACACAGGAGAGAGAACCCACTGCAGGCAGAGCGAAGAAGGACACTCCGATCAGAGCAAAGGTGCCGGCTAACAGCCTCCCAGCCCAGGTCTTTGGGGTCTTGTCCCCGTAACCGATGGTGGTCAGCGTGATCTGAAAAAAAGAAGAAAGAAGAGAAATAAAGACTTTTCTAAAAGTTACTTTTCTAAATGTCTGAGTTGACTGTTTGACAGGAGATATTGTTATTATAACAGCAGGAAGCTACAGCAGGAGCTACAGCTAACAGCTGACGGCTGACAGTTTGTATGTTTTTTATTTTCCAACAGAATATCAAGCTTTGAAGCAGCTGAATGTTGAGGGTAGAGCTTCCCTGCTGGCATTGTTTTTTGGCAGATGTCACAGTTGTATCACAGCCAAAATGCTATTGTCCTCCAGGCTGCAGCCAAATCCACAGCGAACTGTGAGGATCTCTAACTGACGAGCCGACAAAAGGAAATACAAGCTCAAAGCAAAACTCATCTCTTTAACAGGTCACTTAATCTCACATTTAACATATAAGATTTAATAATTTCACTTGTTCTTCAGTTTCAATTAAGATTGTTTACAGAATGTGTCAGTGTCAAAGCATCTAGAACAGAATGATTGTTGGTATTTGTGAGATAATTTCACCCCAATGGAAGATTTTGTCACTTTAATTAAGATAGAAACATTAAGATAGAAACATTCTATAAACATCTACTTCCAGTGTTTAGCAGAAAGACTGGGTGATCACACACAAGATGATCGCAGTGTTGGGAACAAAAACTGAGCAACGTTATTTATTTATTTCATCCCATATAGAAGAAGACTGCTCAGACTACACCTCCAATCAGAGCAAGCGGTCTTCCATGACATGTGCATTTAAAGCTACGTTAAACAAAATATAAATAAAAAGCGTTTGTCATAAGTGTCACGATATGCTGACAGTAGAACATGAGACGGATTAATCAGGTTCCTCTGCCTCCCTTCAACTCCTAGTCTGGATTTAAGGAATGTTGCCGGTTAGGATTTATAACTTATATATTTCTTTTGTTTTAGTCCTTCAAAAAAAGTAGATTCAAATGTAGTATGGTAGATAATGTGATGTACGTACCAGCCCCCACCACAGCGCGTCGGCGTAGGTGTCGAAGTCCTGCGGTGTGGGCCGAGCGGTGGGGTTGTCGTGGTTGGGCACGTCCATGGAGACGTCGTCCTTCTCCACCAGGTAGACCAGGAAAGACGCCAGGATCAGGGACAGGAAGCCGATGTACCAGGCTGTGATCAGCTCCTACACGGACACGATCGCACGTTTATTTACATCAAGCATCTGTACGCAGGGTTCAGGTCTTTTATTGGACGTTAGCGGCCGTAGAGCTTCATGGAGACATGATTTCAGGCCCCGCCCCCCAAAGAATGCAAAACACAAAAATGATTCTTACTGACACAAACTTCAATCAAATGAAGGATGGATGAGTCAGGAGGACCAGACTAATATCTCCTCCTACCCCTCTGCCCCTGCTCTCTCTCTGCTCCTCGGGGATGGAGTTGTCCTCCCCCCTCATATCGCCTCCTGCCTCCACCTCTTTTAATACACGGGGGCTCATTTTAGTGCCTACACTTCACTTGACACTTCAACTGCTTTCACTGTTTGCATTTCAACCGACAGTCAGTTAGTGATTACTTTTATTAAAGTTACACTTAAGCTGCTTTCAGAGCTTACACTTTCCATTACACATGAACTCATCTTGCATGCTTACACTTCAAAAGCCTTTGCAACTCCTTTCAGTGCTTTCACTTCAGCTCCTTTCGTTCCTCCTCTTCACCCAGTTTAAACTGTTTCACACTGAATCCTGCAGCTCGCTAGCACCAGTACGATCAAGTTCAAGATCAAGACCGTTCCTACCTTACTGTGAGCGTAGATGGCGGACCCCAGCAGCTTCCAGGTCCCTCCTCTCCGGTCCATGCGCAGCATCCGCAGGATCTGCAGGAAGCGCAGGCTGCGCAGGGACGTGGCCAACACGTTGCCCTGGTTCCGCACCGCCACCACCGGCACCGAGGCAATCAGCACGAAGATGTCTGAGACGGACGAGAGGCGGCACAGAAAGATTCACAAAAGGTTCTGCGTGTGCGAGGCTTTCATCCCGGTCTCTAATGAGTCTGACCCGACACAGTCATCACTCCTCTTTGTGGACTGATGAATGCGTGTTGGAGGAGCTGTAGAATCGGCTCCTAATGAGAGCTGGTTGAACATAACAGACGTTAATAAGATTTAGTTTGTCAAACGTCAGCAGCAATAATTAAGATAACACGTATCCCCCTCAGTGTGTTTAATAATGTCAATACTCAAGTTATCGTTGTCTTAATGCATTAATCACATTAAACTCTCTTTAAAGTCCAGTGGAGATCACAACGTTTCCAAAGAGAGTAAATATATCAGGCTGTTTCTCAGGAAATAAGAGATTATCAATTTATTTCAATCAAATTAATGTTGAGATCTGAGCCATGAATCACTGAACTTCACTGTTTTCATAAATCCAGCATCTTTTTAATTAATCTTCATTGACCTGTTTTACAGGGTTATTAGTTTCTGTTTTTACATATTGTCTTTGTTCTTTATGTTCTTTATGTTGATTTTTCATCAGTCAATGTCCAGATTCTTGCTTCTCGTATGTGTCCATGGACCACAGGAAAATCAACAACCGCTAAAGAGGCTTTTGTAATCAATAGTCAATAATGTAAATCATGTGCTGTGTCAGCATGGAGCAGACAGCAGCTGGTACATGATGCTACTTCTCATCCTCTGTACTTCACTCAACGATGGTTTGTCTGCTGCTCATCACTATTTTAGGATTCCACATGTTTACCTAGAATGCACAGAGGCTTGCGGGCGAACTTCAGCCTCCCCCTCCATCCTTTGTAGCGACAGCAGCATCCCGCCGCCCAGACCCTCAGAGCAAACTCTGCTCCGAAGATGAAGATGGCGAATGTTTCCTGGACGGGGAAAGAGGAAACGGGTTACATCAGAATCACACACAAGAAGGTTTTACATTTTGTGACATTTTAGTTTTTTACTAAATGTTTTTTCACAGTTTCGTGTGAAACTCTTTGAGGAAAGAAAAGGTGCAAAACAAGTGAAGTTTATTAATTAAAGTTAAAGTCTGTAAGAGCAGATATTATCCTGTTTTGTAAATGTATGTTTTAAAGATAAAAACTTTAGTGTAAGCATGAGCTGGATCAACATGAGGCACTGAATGATATTTTAGACGTAACAGGAAAAGGTTAAAGTTCACAGATTAAAGGGTTCAACACAGAAGGAGAGAGATCCTCGTCCTCGTACCACAATGACGAGCAGGTGAGCCGACACGTTCTCGTGTTCCTTGAATGTCGTCAGAATGGCCAGAATCAAACATCCCAGAACGATCAGAAACCTGCAGAGACACAAAACAACCAACAGGGCAGTGATGAATACATAAATACATAGATATGTATGTGTTCACTTTGTCCTACAGGAGGCGATGTCTTCATGCTGCCACCAGAGGGAGCTACATCTCTGCTGCTCACTTTAAAAGTCCAGAACAAGCACTTTTATTTAGTGCTTGTTCTCTTTCAGCTCAGGAATGAGAGGAAAAGCACTTATTTCTGAATAAATCACACATTTATGAATTACCTTCCTATGTAAGACGTGTCGTCAAACAGATATTTGGGACTTTGAAACCCTCAGAAAAGCTTTTAGCTTAAGTTTCTCCACAGCAGAGAGAAGCATTCATCAGCATGACTTTGTATTAAACATAATGTATTTGATACAAGCTGTGAGTGGCTACATATCAGAGGATCAAATAAAGAAAAAGTCAGATTTCACAAGACAAAACGTAAAATGTAAAACACGTGAAGCATGTCAGAGGATCCAGAAGATCTCTTCAACATGTCAGATGGTTAATAAACCTTTTACTAAACCGTATGAGACAATTAGAAAAAACAGACAGAAATGCAGAATAAACTGGTCGGCAGGTTTGTGTCGTCGCTAGTTTCAAGATAAACTAAATACTTAAAGCATACAGTACATGTACGTGATTTGATTTCCCTAAAATAAGACGACATATTGAACTGATATTTTCATAGACGTCTGATATCTGATTTTAGATATCTCTTTGTTTCACTTCATAAATCAAAGAAATCTATTTTATCCATGTTTTTATTAATAAAATGTATTACAAGTTTTATGAAATGTCATGTTTAAATATGCAAATGAGGGATTATGTAATGTAACCTTTGGTGAATGAAATAAATGTTTTCTTTCCACCCGTTTGAAAGAAGACGAGTTATGGAAGTGAAATTGAAACGATGTAGTTTTCCCTTTCCTTATTCCTCCTCTGTGCTCCATCAACCCAAATATTCGGTTCCACCCGGTTTAATCCTCAATATTAAAAAGATGAATGAGCTACTAAAGCCCTCTTTTAACATCTAAGTGGAGCCCTTTCAGAGCTGATTTAATTGGATACACACATAGAAACGTCCATTTAAACGTCCCCGTACACTGGAGCACACTGGGCTGTATTCCAGGTGGCGTTAACCTGCTGTGATATATGACACCCTGCTGTGATATATGACGTAGAGCAGTACTAAATAAACTCAACCAGCTGCAAAAAAAAAGAATGCACAGAAACCACAACGATTAATATTCATTTCGCGCTGCGTGTCCGATATTCTCCACCATCACCTCCGTGGGAAAAGGTTCCGTTCTTCTTCAGCTCGTCTAACTCAGGCCTGGTGGAGCTGCTGGAGAGCCGAACCATGACCATACTGGTGCACTCTGGGAAACAGGAGGTTATGGTGGTGAGCGGTTCACTTATTGATTCTTACACAGCGGTTAAGCACCGGAAACTTAACAACGCGTTTATTACATTTTAACCTGCAGCGCAGAGAATGCCACAAGATACTGTATGATAAGATATGATAAGATAAGATGTATGATATGATATGATATGATATGATGTATGATATGGTATGATATGATATGATATGATGTATGATATGATGTATGATATGATATGATATGATGCATGATATGATGTATGATATGATATGATATGATGCATGATATGGTATGATATGATATGATATGATGCATGATATGATGTATGATATGATATGATATGATGCATGATATGATGTATGATATGATATGATATGATATGATATGATGTATGATATGATATGATATGATATGATATGATGTATGATATAATATGATGTATGATATGGTATGATATGATATGATATGATGTATGATATGATATGATATGATATGATATGATATGATGTATGATATGATATGATATGATGTATGATAAGATGTATGATATGATATATGATATGATAAGATATGATAATATATGATATATGATATGATGTATGATATGATAAGATATGATAAGATAAGATGTATGATATGATATGATGTATGATATGATATGATAAGATATGATAAGATAAGATGTATGATATGATATGATGTATGATATGATATGATATGATATGATGTAAGATAAGAGATAAGATAAGATGATCCTTTCTTAGTCCCACAGCGGGGATATTTGCAGGATTTGCAGCAAAGTGGACAAAACAAGAAGAAACATCAGTAAAAACACAAAACAAGAGAATAAAAGGTAAACATAAAGGTATAATAAATAAGTAAATCACAAAAACACAAAACAACAAAAGCTAAAAATACAATATAATATAATACACATTATATTGAGTCATGAGTCATATTGAGAAATGTGTCAACATTCTATTAACGTCCAGGTCATGTTCAAAGTATTCTCTCTTTCCTGTCAGACGGAGGGAGGCGATGCATTTTCAATCTCACTGTGAAAGAAGCGAGCAGACGACGTAAACAGACAGAAAAATAAGACTTAGTTCTGAGAAAAGCTGCATTAAAACAACTCATTGGTTGTTGTATTGTCTGCAATATTCCCAAATATCAGTTATGGACAATAGCTTGTCCATGCTGTATCAAAGACCAGCAACCCTGCTGACCGTCTCCTCCCATCACCTGAACCCTGAACCCACCACCTCTCCTACATAGGAGGAAGACACACAGACTTTAGCGTTGTTCAGCTTCTTTTTGTGGTTGTTTTGTGTGTCATGTGGTCATGTTGTGTCACTTTGTAGTCGTTTTATCTCTCTTTGTGGTCATGAAGTGACTCTTTGTAGTTTATTTGTGTCACTTTGTAATTGTTTGTGAATAATGTTTTTGTCTGTGGTTGTTTTGTCACTCTTTGTAGTCCCTTTGTGTCTCTTTGTAGTCCCTTTGTGTCTCTTTGTAGTCCCTTTGTGTCTCTTTGCAGCTGTTAAGCACCACTTTGTAGTTGTTCTTTGTATTTGTGGTCATGTTGTGTCTTTGTAGTTGTTCTATGAGTCAATCTGAGGTCTGTTTGTGTCTTTGGGTTTGAGCTGATTTTGTATCTCTTTGTGGTATTATTGTGTCACTTTGTAGTTATTTTTGTGCTTGTCCTGTGTCTATTTGTGGTCATGTTGAGACTCTTTGCAGTTGTTTTGGTCTTTTTGTAAATCAGTTTTTGTCTGTTTGTTTTGCTTCTTTTTTATATTTGATTTGTGTCTCTTTGTAGTGGCTTTGTGTCTCTTACAGCTTCTCATTGTAGTTGTTTTGGTCTCTTTGTTGTCTCTTACAGGTTGGTACGTGTCTTTTCAAGTGACCTCTTGCAGGTGTAGGCATAGGGGGCCAGTATGGGGGTAAGTAAACGCCGTCTCTAGGACCAGAGCCATCCTGTGTGACCACATAGTCTCTTAATGGGGGCAGCCCTGCAGAACTTCACTGTACATCGGCTTGTTTGCTTCGTCAGATGGATTCAGATGGTTACGAGTTCTCTGAGGTGCCATCAAGGCGTCGGACCTCTTTTGTTTGGACAGTGAGTTTGGAATGGAATCTTTCATTTATGCTCATAAAAACAACAGTGGAGGATTGACTGCTGCCTGTTGCGTTGCCATTAGCCAGCATCAGCGTCTCTGAGAAGTGCTGCACAACATAACAACATGAATATTTTACAGCCAAACAGAGAGTTTTACATAATTCACCAGAAGGAAATGAGAGTCGAGCCTGAGCGCCGCGTGGTGGTCGTCTGTGTGCGTTTTTGTTGTGCGTCTCGCCGTACGTCTTCCTGCGTCCTGAATTAAATCAGAGCATTTCTCCTCAAAGTTATCCAGAGGACAGAAATCGATGTTAACTCGATACGATCCAACAGATACTGATCTGCAGCGCAGACGGCTTCCTATTCAGCTTCAAATAGTTTGTTCAATGAAGGCACCCAGAGCGACGTGGACGCCCATCAGACCCGGCACGTCAGGAGGAGCGGGGGAGGGGAGGGGAATGAAAAGGTGTCAGTCAAAAAACTCAGACGAATAACAGTAAAAACGAGTATTAATGGCGTTTTTTTAAAGCTTTTACAGGAATTTAATTTGTAGCTTCTTGTGTGACGGAGAACAGACCGTGTCTGGTCAACCTCTTTATTATGTTTCCATTGAAACTAGGCTGAGCGCTTCCTGCTTCACAGCTGCACTCATGCAACACAGACAAGTCTAATCAAGTCTCAAGTCTGGATGGGACATTGTTAGGATTGTATTTATACTAGGACTCTTATCGATATTGTCAGGAAAAAAAGACAATTAATGAAGAAAAGAATCCACATCTCTTTATTATTCTTGTATGTAAACGAATAGTCTTTCTTGAGCAGCGATAGAAGAAGTTCCTAAATCTTACCGACATTCATGTCTGGTGTGAAACCAAAAGTTGAGTCTTCTGGGATTACTTCTTGAATATATAAACTATATAAACTTACCAAAAACAATGCGCCGTAACTCATAGGTATCCGACAAAATCATTTGAATTTTTGTATGTATAAATTTCTATGTTATGCACGTAATCACGAACGAGGAAGTATAAAGATCGCAGAAGACCAGACATGTGGGAGGGAGGTGAGGTGGATGAGTCCAACAAACAAGGATCTTTCAGCCAAGAGGCCGCTGTTTACTCCTTCTGTGAAACAAGAAGCCAATGTTGATCTATTTGTCTTTTATTTTGTGCACTTCAGTGACAACACGTCTCTCACTATTTTAACCCAAACCACCATCTTTTTCTAACAGTTGTTTCTTGTGCAAACGGAAGTTCATTTTGAAAGGACTGTATTCGTATAACGAGCGGAAATTGACACGTGTTGCTGGACTTTAGTAGGAAAACACACAAAAAATGAGGAGAAACTTTTGGGAAGATATCATAAAAACCGTTGTGTGAGGATACCTTTAGAAAAGTGATGGAGCTTTTTACCAAAGTGGTAGATTTTAAATTGGACAGACACTTAATGGGGAAATGGTTCTTTGCTTGGAGAAGATTATCGATCATGTTTGATGTCAGTTATTTCTACATCAACAAGAAGAATCTAATAGAAACAAATCAGGGACAGTCCAGAGGAGGAGCCTGGAGTATTCACTTTAAAGTCTGAAAGCAAAGTTTAACCATAAACATGTTCACTGACATCCTCAAAAAGACAGCGACGCACCAACTTTACACCAATGCAAACAACTCAAATGAAACATTCATAACTTACAGCAGTAATGTTGTCTGCTCTGACATCAGTCACACGTTTATGAAACAATATGAAAATTTAATTTCAATAATTACAAAAATATTTCAAAATCACTGAAAACTCGATGATAAGTTGAGCTGAACTCAGATCTGATATTTAATGAGTTAAACTTGAATCCAGCTCTCTCTCTCTCTCTCTCT